CGTTTTTGCTGGCTGTAGCAGCGCAATAGCGCTGCTATAGCGCTGCACAGCAAAAACGCATAAAAAACCATTTTTTATGCGTTTTTGCATATATGTAAATTGCAAAAACGCATATTGGGAAGAGGCTGTGTGTGTATGTCTGTGTGTTCGCACTTTTTGTCACCCACCAACTCGAGACCCAGAAAAGCTAGAAGGCTGAAACTTTGGGGATATGTGCCTATACCATGCGCGACCGTCGAGACCCAGAAAAGCTAGAAGGCTGAAACTTTGGGGATATGTGCCTATACCATGCGCGACTCTCCCATTTTAATTTCATCCCCCGCGGGCGCCTAGGTAGCGCGTACGGACGCTCCAAAAAAATATGCAAGTTTTTTGGCGGGAAAGCGATCTTGGGAACCATACGAACTAAGGACTGAAAATTTGTAGGGATATTCCCTGTGCATGAATTAGTTGAAGATTTCAAATTCAGCCACCAGGTATGCGTTGTACTCATGTAAGAGCGTACGAAATTTCTAAGGGAAAAATTGATAACTCGGGTATGAGGAAAACTAGAAAGCTGAAATTTTGGAGGAATGTTCCCTATCCAAGTACAAGTCAAATATTTCAAACTCAGCCCTAATCTGTGCGTGGTACTCACGTAAAGGCGCATGAAAGCTTCTGCAGGGAAATTACTGACTCGGTAACCAGAAGAGCTGGAAGGCTGAAATTTTAAGGGGATGTTCCTCGTCCACCTGCAATTTGTAAATGTCAAATTCAGCTTTCCAGGCACGTGGAGTACCCAAGTACGAGCATGTGAAGGTTTTGGAAGAAAAATTGCTAACTCGGGAACCAGAAAAGCTAGAAAGCTGAAATTTTAGGGAAATTTTCCCTGTCCAAGCACAAATTATTTCAAATTCAACCTTGAGGTATGAGTGGTTCTTACGAACGGACACTTGAAAGACTTGGCGAAAAAATTCCTCACTCAACAACGTGGCTACTTCTAAAGAACAACTGTTAAGTAGAAATTACACATTTACTTTAGAAAATTTATGATGATTTATGCTAGTGACCGCAAAAGGCAAGTGCAAAGCAACAGCCATTCATACAGTTAATGACCTGACTACTTCATGTCCGGTGCAAAAACGAGTGATCACACGGACCCGCCCGGTGGGTTCCAGCCTGGGTTTAAAACCCGTAAAAAATTCGACAGTTTGGAACACAAAATATCAACGTGCTTGTGGAAATCGAGGAAATAGTCAAATGCGGCTCAAAATTTTTGCACAACACCGCGGGGCGGTCTCTTCAGCCCAATGGTCAGCATTTCGTCAGAGACGCGTTTTAAATTCTGAAGAAAATGATTTTCAGTGAACCGGGTCCAAAGCATTCTTTGCTTTCTTGGACCAGAAATGAACTCAAGCTTTTGTACGTGGTCCAAATTTTTTCACTCAGCTTATTTTGAATTTGCATTGTGCTTTGTTTTTTCATAAATACGTAATTTAGGCGTGAAAGTGCAGCATCCCTAAGTCAACCAGAAATCACTGTAAAATCCAGGAGCAAACAACCATCGCATGCAATATCCTGTTTTGTAAGTTCAAAAATGTTTCATCAAGCAAATAATAATTGAAATCTCAAAATCAACAAACGTTGCAACTATATATTGGGATTCTGGCAAAATAAGCAGTTTTCTAGGATCTGTCACTGGAGTCGCACGGTATCGGAGTGGAGGAGCATAGCAACAATACATCGCCAGTTTCGCCAACGCGATCTTCAACACCCCAAACAGCCATTGTGTTTTACTCTACCGGTCAATTCAAATTTCCAAAACCAATTGAAGTGGCGTACAGATGCATTCTGTACAACCTGCAACAACTCAGCTATCCAATCGTTGGGCCGCCAACTGACAACGATAAATGCCTGCTTGGTTTGCGTTTCAGCTATTGCTTTGGCACTAATATACGGCTTTGAACAAAAAAATCGTATTTACAAAAAAAAAATCGTAAGAAGTCGTATTGCCTGTTTCGTCGCAAAATCGTATTTACAACATTTCCTTTTCAAGTCCCTTGAACAAATGATTGCAGTTACTATTTACTACCGTTTCTGCGGTCATCCCTTATAATACCACTTAGAGCCTAAAAATCTGAATTAAAATTACAGTCCCGTCTTAGTATTGCATAAACAGAACGACTGTTCTAGGTCTGTCGAACTCTCCTTTCGCATCAAATTAGGATAACTCCACCTAGTAGGAGAGGGGGAAGTTCAGCAAGCAGGTCTAAGTGCATCCGGGTTGCCGATAATTGGTAATTAAGCGATTCCACATTTCTCTTCAAACGTGAAGAGAACACTGCATGGGTGTGATATCCAGTGTTTATACTGATACCACGGATAAAAAGTCAAAAAATTTTGATGCATTTCAAAAATCTGAGCAGTTTCTGTTAGGAGTGAAATAATTTTCAGGAAGAACAACTTGTTTTCTGGATTCCTGGAAATAGACATTTTTTCAGCGGCAAATATCCATCATGCCTTTGGTCTTGTAACAGCATTTTTGACGTTGAAAAGTGGCGCACAGTTGATTGTTACGTCAAAACAAAATTCGTACCAGATTATACAAATTATCAAACAGTGGAAAGTGAGTTCTTTAAACAACTCATCTGGATGGAGCGCCGAGCCGCGCTGCATCCAGAGACAGCAACAGCAATATTTGTAACATGCAAGATACAGCTATTCAAAATTTCCTTTGCCGAAATGTTTGCTTCTGGTAGGTGAACGATAAAATGCGTTTGCAATTTTAGGTGACAGTGCTCTACGCCATTCCGACACTCATCCATCATTTCGTGAACGACGCACAGCTTGAGAAGTATGATTTGGAAACACTGAAAAGCGTTGTTATAAGTGGAGCACCGGTCGGAGAAGCCATCATGCAGCAGTGCAAAAAACGCCTAAAATTACAGGATCTAAGACAAGGTTGTGGCCAACTGACTGTTGCTGAAAGAGCATAAAACAGGATTTTATCTTTCCCCTGGATTATAAAACGACGGGCATCCGCACTTTTCATGTTCATACATTCATGATTTTTCAATGAATTTTTATTTTCCCAGCATATTCGGTAACAGAAGCTGGAGGAATATGCTGCATTGCGCCGTATGGCCAGAAGGGAATGAAAAGTGTTGGTATTCCATTGCCCGGACTACATTTCAAGGTACATAGATCATATACATATATATACGCATACATACACACCTAGCGCTTTCGGGCGTACCCAGAAATGTGATGGATATAAAAATTCTAATATCAGCTATCGATGTAGCTGTTTTGAACTGTTAAAGTATGCAGGTGGTGAATTGGGAAACGAGGGAAATTTGCATGCCGGGTCAGCTGGGACAAGTTCTCATCGAGGGGCCGCAAATAGAAGTGCCGGAACCCGGAAGCTCCAAACAAGTCCAGAAAGTGTTCGAGTCAGGATACTTCAAGACAGGTTCACGAACATGCCTAATCCATTGATTTATTGTTAGCAGCCTTAAATTTAGACTATTTCATGAAAAAGCACGCCTACTGCAAAGAGCCTCTTATAAGTCAGTAATTCGGTTTTTGTGCGCTTTTTTGCATTTGTACAATGCAAAAACGCATTTTGTCGAAGGATTGTGTGTGCGTCTGTCTGTGACTGCGTGCATGCCTGTATCGAGTTTTCATCTCGAGATTTAAAAAAAGCTACAAGGCTGAAACTTTAGCAACTTATTTTGCATTCGTACGCTGATTTTGGCATCTTACACTATCATTCAGGCTATGGTGTGCTTGTTTATTCGTTTTGGTACTTGACTAATCAGTTAAGCTGAGAGAAGCCAGCTGCACTGACGCTAACCAAAGATGGAGTTGCCGATGCGCGACTTGCTATGACTTAGTAGCACAAAATTATGTACTGTTGTAAACTAGTGGTATCCATTAGTTTTATTAGACGTCCCTCTGCTGAAAGTCTGACATTCACCCGAGAGCGGAACTCATGCGGCTTCTAATTCGCAGGTGATGTTGGATATTACGATGAAGCCGGCTACATCTATGTACTCAACAAAATGAAAGATGTTGTCAAATGCAAAGGTGTACTGGTACGTGCGTCCTCTTTAATTTCACATTTCACATTTTTTCCTCATTTTAACAAATCAACAGATATCTGGAGGTGTGCCAAATTCAGTTTCTCTAAAAATAGGCAGTTGACCCAGGCGCCCAAAAATTCTGAAGAGTAACAGAAAAATGATTCTCAAGTGAGTTATTTAGTTGTGTCCATCAGAAGTGGAAAGCATATTGCGGAGTCATCCAGGAATTGAGGACTGTGCTGTGGTGGGCAGACAGGAACAACTGACTGGAACAGAGACTCCAGCGGCATTCGTCGTGAAAAGTGCTAAATATCAACAGCTTGCATCTAGCGAAATTCGGCAATATGTTGCTGGTACCTCTTATGACCTCTCAATTTTCCTATGCTTTCAATTTTGCGTAATTTCCTTCATTTCCGTATGAAAAAGTGATTTTTTTAATCTCTCATTAGATGGTCAATCAGCGTCATGAACGGAGCCCTTTCTCGAAAATTATTCTAGACCGGGAGGGAGTCGAACCACTCCTCTTCACGTCCGGACGCAATGTGTTACCACCACACCACCGGTCCTTGTGCTTCAGGTTCAGTCTGGCGGCGAGCCTGCTGTGTATATGCGTTTCAAGGCAAGATGCACCTTTCTTTTCT